GCTACACGAGGCGACAAAACTTCTTTGTGAACCCTGACTGCTCTACCTCTGGCTCATAAGCAGAGACAGCAATAAGCAGTGACTGTGAAGGACAGACATTTTCACAGGAAAAAAATCACATATCTGGGGAAGTACAGAGCTGCCATTCAGAGCTTTGAATATTCTTATCTCAAAAACTCCAATCCATGTCCTTCTGGACAGCTGTGAGTAATTCAGGACAGAAATGGCAAATGACTTGTTCACAGAAGGAATTCTTCCCTCCTCATTCAGCTACACAACAGTGCAACCAGGTGTTAATACACACAAGCTGGATGTGCCACCTCTGACTGACCAGCTAGTCTTGCTGGATGCTAATCTACACGAGAGTTTCTCAATGTTTCCTTTCTTCAGCAAACTCACTTAGAAATTAGCCACTGTCCAATGACAAGGTAATGGACAAAAATCAATTGCATGAAAATTGACTCCAATTAAAACAGAAGCAGTTCTGAAGGGTATCTGAAATATTTCGAAGGGTTGCATCATTTGTGCCACTGCCATCTTTCAAAGTGCTACACTGACAAGCAGTCGATTCAGTTTCTAATTTGAGAGTTCTTCTAGATTACCTGCTGACGATGAGCTCCGTTAGAGCAGGAAGTAATCTCTTGTAACACCTCTGTTGGCTATGAAAATCTGTGCCACCCTGGTGATCAGGCTTCAGCCAGCCCTACTTCTGTCATCTCTTGTGTACACTGCAAGCAACAGGGTATACTGAGCTATCAACCCTTTAGAAAGTCCAAAAACACTTTGCAATACTTCAATAACCTGCATCACATCACCTCTGTTTCCGGTAAGCAAGTCAAAGCAGTCCTTGGCTCTTGGCACTGGCTTCCCTAGAAATACCAAGTCAATTAATTTGACTCCCAGGTTATATTTTTACTTGCCTGAGCACTAGATAATTTAAAAATCTTCCAAACTCTATGATGAGTTTAGCTGACAGCTTCGCTCTTCAGGTAGAACTGAAGTTTCTATAATAAGCTGCAAGTATTTGCACGAGAAACAGACCTTTCCTACAGGATGATCTCGGTTTGCGGTATCAATTGCCATGCAAACTAAACATCACCAAAACTGTGTGCTTTTGAGACTCTGCTGTCCCTAAGATAAACACAGCCAATGTGAAGGAGCAGTAGGGGAATGTGAAAAGCAGCAGTAGGGGAAGGGAGACAGAGCTGGTCTACACTGGAACCTGCTGATGTTAGTCAATGGAAGAAGCCAGTCAGCAAGGAATCAAGACAAGTGGGTTCCAGACCTCTAAGTCTTATAAAAACCTGTGTTCTCCCAGTCGCAGCTGTAGCACCCAACCTTAATACTTCCCTTATATGACCTTCCTGGTTCCTGCCTAATGAAGACTTTTTTAGTCCATATTAAAGCCCACTGCCCACTGTCACAAATGAGGCTGAACCTGCATATACACTGGGTGCATTCCTGGATGTTGCGTTTCAAAATTTTCCAGTAGAACTCGAAAAGCTGCAGGAAAAGGTCACAAATATGATTGGCATGATGAATTGATTTCCATACCAGGTAAGACTGCAAAGGGAAGGACACTGCCTCTTAGAAAAAGGCAGTAAGTATAGAAGTGATAGAGGTCTATAGGTCTATAGTGAGTAGCCTCGACATGAATAAGGAGCAATCGTTCACTGTTTCTCGTAAAGAGGAGTCAGTATCAATAAAATATATGTTATAAAATATGACAATAATATCACACATTTAAACCATATAACATTGTCTAGGCGTGTAACAGAGGTCAACATTATATATAAGTGGTATAAAAAGGAGACTAGGCAAATTCATGGAGGACAGGTCCATTTCAGGCTATTAAAATGAAGACTCAGAAGCAACCCTCTTGCTCTGGAATTTTCTAAGCCTTTGTTTTTTCATAAGCTGGCAAGATATGTCAGGGTACAGATTGTTCAGTGAATGTCCTGTTTCTTAAATCTTTCACTAAATAACCCTAACCAGCCACTTCCAAAACAGGAGAGTGGACAAGACGGACCAACTACCAGGATCATCCTGCTGTTCAAACTAGTGTTGTGGAATATGGTACACCACCAGTACTGGAGCAAAGAACAGAGGCAGGAAGGGCTGAACCAAATGCTGGGGAGCGGGTCTTGCCTGGGACCACCAGCTTTGCCCTTGGACTGAATGGGAGCAGCTGGCTTCTGAGAAAAGTAGCAGCTAATGTGATGGTGATGGAGGCTGGAGAGGAGGAGGTCTTCTTGCTAGGGTCTGGCAAGAGAAGAACTGTTTGCACAGCATCACAGAACAGTTGAGGTCATCACAGAATGGCTGAGGTTGCAAGGGACCTATGGAGATCATCTGGTCCAACCTTCCTGCCTGAGCAGGGCCGCCAAGAACAGGTTGGCCCGGACCACACCTGGTTGGATATTGAGCATCTCCAAGGTGTTCAACCACCCTTGGAGTAAAGAAGTGTTTTCTCTGTTTCTGCAGACAGGATTTCCTCTGTTTCAGTGTGTGCCCAATGCCTTTCATCCTGTCACCCTGAGAAGAGTCTGGCTCTGTCTTCTCTCACCCTCCTACCGGGTATTTACACACATTGATAATATCCCCCCTCACCCTTCTCTTCTCCAGGTAAAACAACTAAACAGTTTGGTGTTTGCCAAACAGTCTGGGGGACGGGGGAGGAAATTGGGCTCCTGAGGTAGTTGACAGGTTCCTATAGTTTGACCATGCAGCCACAGGTGCCTTTAGGTAAACCGCAACCGTAAAGGCTTGCTTGAAACAAGGCCTGAGAACCAGGATATTGCCAGTAATTTGTTATCCTTGTAAAATATGTATAGCCCATGTACTCAACATGTACCTGAAGATGATGTGTGTGTAAAAAAGTGCACATCTTTAGGATAAATAGATATACTGGACAAGTATGATCTGTTTGGAGAAGAAAAAAAAAGCAGAACTTTTTGAGCATAAGCTGAGGCCTGAAAATTGTAATTAGAAACGAAGAACACTTTTTTTAACCATGAGAGTGAGAGGCGCCATTGGAACAACATTCCAAGCCTTCTCCTCGCCTGGCCTCCCACCCAAGACAAGCCCTGGCCAGAGGAAAACACGCCATCCCCCATGGTGCCAGGTTTCCCTCCAAACTGACGGGGATTCCAGGCTCAGGGGCACCTGCCCGGGTACCGCG